CTGTGGCTAGGTCACTGACTCTGGGCCCAAGAGTCCCCAGGTCTTGCCACACTGCTGGCCAACCAGGTCTCCACCCGGGTTCACAGAAGTCTATTGAACATTGTAGGACTTAGCTCGCAGCTTCATTGCTGTTTTTCCCTCACTTCCTCTTATCAGTGATGAATGTGGTCATGTAGTCACCAATCAGAGTGTGTATTCCCATTGAGTCTTAGTCTTTGCCCTGAGGGGGACCCGACCACTTGTGGCAAGCAACTTGCTTGTTCTTGTAGTAATCAGTTGGACTGCCTATATTGTTTTGTATTTTTCATGTAGGTCTTTCTTTCAAGAAGTATCTTCTGTTCTTTTAGCCGCTCCAGGTTATGTTGTTTTAAGAAAGGTATTTGCAGTGAGTAAGCCATTGGTGTTGCAAAAAAATCTATCATGTAACCTACAGCCTCGTTTCTGTCTTCCAAAGTCATATTTTTTTAAACTAATGATCTGTCACTGAATCCCAACCTTTGCATTTCAATCACCAGTAGTTATCAGTACACTGTGATTGCATGTTTGGTCAATTTCAGACTGAAGAAGTTGGTAGAATTCATCAGTTTCATCATCACAGGCTTCCGTGGTTGGTGTGTAAATTTGAACAATAGTGGTATGAACTGGTCTTCCTTGTAGGCACATGCATATTATCCTATCACAGACATGTTCTTTTTGATCATAACTGGGACACCATTCCTCTTTAATGTAGTAAACCATGTGATTGCCAGATTCAAGATGGTCAATACCCGTCCATTTCAGCTCACTAATGCCTAGGAGATCGATTTTTATGCATTCCATTTGATGTTTGACAACTGCCAACTTTCCTAGAGTCCTACTCGGTACGTTGTATGTTCTTGTTTATTGCTGTTTCTCCTCATTTGGAGTTGTGTCCCATTAACAAATGAAGGTCCCGAAAGCTTTACTCCGTTCACGTTATCGTAGTCAGCTTCCCCGAGACGTCATCACGGTCTGCTCTCCTCAGAGGCGGCAGCTCTTCCTCAACCTGATGAGGTTATCTTCAGGCCCTGGATCTGACAGTATTCTGGTGCCAACACTGTCCCACTGCTATTCATGAGGTTTTCAGTGATAAACATGCAGAAGTAGCCTGCCTCTCCTTCCTGGTCTAGCTTAGTCATAAAGCTCAGCTGACACCTGTCCATCCTGGGTGACCCTGCTGGTATTTAAAATACAGGTAGTGCAGCGTCCAGCATCACAGCCACACCCAAGCCACCACAGTACGGCAAATTGACAGGTGAGGGGTGGATATAGATCTTCGGGAAGAGAACCAGCAGTTAAATCTGAAATGGAAAGCTATGATTCTTAGATTTGGAGACAAAACGCAGTGGTGTCCCCTGTAACCCTGGAGTGGTTGAGCCTAGCCAGGCTCTGGCTGGGTGAATGGGGTCTTGTCTTGATGCCTGGAGATCCTGGGGGGTAGAAGAGGGACATGCTGTGGCCCCTGGTTGCCCGGGTGGGAAGTGTGGGACAGTCCCAGAGGCGAGTGAGACCCTGGAGGACAGGCCCAATCCTGAAACGTCTTCGGGTTCTACTAGGTGACGGCATTGTTGGAGCCATTGGGAGTTGGTGAGGGAACCTTGACTCGGAGGGGTTAGGGGAAACTCCTCTGGGACCCCCGAGTGGGCCCCGACACTTCCTTTCTCCCCATTAGAACTACAGTCTACAGCCGGTGTCCAGCCTAGTCCTGGGAGAGCGAAGACTGGCCTTGTCCCTGGATTGGTCCACTGGGAAGATGGGAAGGTAGTGAAGACGGGGCAGTGGTGTTAGTCTTCCTCTGAGAAGCCGCCAGAGAATTCAAACAGTCTGTACATACACGTTGCCACGACGGCCCAAACCTGGGAGTATCTCTGGTTTTCTAAATGAAGGATGAAGATGTTTTCATTCAGGAAACTGATACTGAATTTCCTTTGACAAGTTGCATGTTTGGTCTTTGTCAAATACCCAAGTCAACTTAGGGGCAGTGTGCACACGGACATGCTTCTTTGGGGACTTCTGCCTGATGGTTATGTGGTTTTTGAGCTTTTTATTGTGAATTGGTGAAGATTTACAGCACAGATCAATTTTCTGTTCTGCCAAGTGTCTGGGTGGTAAGCATTTGCATAACAGCTTTTCCCTTTGGCTCTCTGTTTCTGTGGCCAGTGACCAGCCCTTGAAGATTGTCAGCAGTGATTCCCAGGGGCAGCTGCACCTGCTGACAGTGAATGAGGCCAGCCTGGGGCTGCAGTTAGTGGACACTTGGCAGGCCCACCGATTTGAGGCCTGGATCGCAGCTTTCAACTACTGGCAGACGGAGGTCATATACTCAGGTGGGTAAATCCCAACAACAACCATGTTGGGCCCTGCTTGGGAGGGAGGCAGACTATGGGCACAGTGCCAAGGTGTAGGATCTGGGACACCTCTTGTTAGGTCTGTGTTTCCACCTTAATTCTTGGTTCCGTTTTCAGTAGAGCACATTTTGCCTCTTTTTTCCCCCTTTCTCTTCTTTATTTTGGTGAAATTAGTTTTATTAACCTGCTTTGTAATATCACACCATACAGCTTGTATTTCCAAGTATGGTAAGTTTTGCTTTCTGTTTGTCATTTGACCAAATCTAGTTTTTGTGGGATAAATGTTATGATGGAGTTTTTGTCAAGATTTGATAACTTTTGCTAGTTTTTTCTTAATAGCAAAATTTCCCGTGTGCACTTCGAGCCATTGCAAGTTTTCCTTTGTGATTCTACTGTTCCCCCTCTCACATGTCTAATATTGGCACACAGTTCGAATTAGGGGGTCCGTGTAGTGTGGATGGGGGATGGTGGAGGGAGGTCCCCTTGGGTGATGCCTGACATACCGGTGGGGGGGGTGGGTTTCGTTCTAGAGCTGAGGGGGACTGTGGGCCGGAGGCTATTACGTCAGTGCCTTGTTCACACAGGGGGAGACGACGGACTCCTGAAAGGTTGGGACACCAGACAGCAGCTCTGCTCGCCTCTGTTCACCAGCATGAGGTAACAGCACACAGGGTGGGGTTGGAGTGGGCACCCATTGGGCCTGGCTGAGCAGTCCTCACCACACCTGCAGGCACTCCATGGGCGTGTGTAGCATCCAGAGTAACCCGCACCAAGAGTACATCCTGGCCACTGGCAGGTGAGGCCCCGCCCATGCAGCACATCCTCTCAGACCTAAGGGGAAAGCTTGGCCTGGCCCCAGAGGCAGGTGCCGCCTCCTCCGGGCTTAGCGCTGTGGTGGCTGTTGCAGTTACGACCAGCATGTCCTGCTGTGGGACACACGCAACATGATGCAGCCCTTGGCGGACACACCTGTCCAGGGTGGCGTGTGGAGGCTCAAGTGGCACCCCACCCGCCCCCACCTGTTGCTGGCCGCCTGTATGCACAGTGGCTACAAGGTGCTCAACTGTCAGGCAGCCTTGGGTGAGTGTTTCCCTGAAGGCTGCCCCACACGCAGCACTGCTCCCGCTCCCTCCCTCCCTGCCTGTCCCAGCCTCTGCTTCCCCCAGCTCAGAGCTCCTGTGCTGGGCGCCCCCCCTGAGCCCCAGCAGGGGGTTTGCCCCGTTTCATCCTCTCCATGCAAACCTCCACCCTCACCCCTTTTGCCTCTAGCTCACAGTCCTCCGCCATGTGGCACCCTAGATACCCAGGCTTGCTGTTGGCCCTGGCACCCCCTCCTCCCCACCTGTGCCCCGTCCCTTCTGTTCCTCTCTATCTCGGCACCCCCGTCTCCCCACTTGCACCCTGATCCTTCTGTACATCTGACCCCCTGGTGACCTGAGCATGCGGCCAGGCTTCTGGTGGTGAGCTGGATGAAGGTTGGCAGAGGGAATCAGGTTTGCATTCAACAGCGCAGTGTTGTTCATCTCAGTGTCTGCTCTCCGTCAGCGTAACATCACCAGCCCACTTCCTGCCTGTTTCCTGTTTGCAGTCTTCCTTACATCCTTCTGGGTCAATGCTGCCTTTTTGATCACAAATAGTTGATGATTCTAAGGTGTGTGCACTTGCCTACGGTTACGGCTCCTCTTGTAGACGGTGCTTACCAACAGCATAGGACTTTCCGTTGTTTACCTCAGATGAGTCATGGGGGTGAGTTCAATTCTAGAGCTGAAGGTGGACTGAGGGCCATGGTCTCAGGGTTTCCCCATCTAGCTGACCAGTAAACCTAACTTTTTGAGTTTTGTGCCACATTTTTCTCCCTCTAACCAGGACCTTCTAATGTGATCCCTTGCAGTGCAGTTGGTAAAGGTAGCTGACCACTGTCTGGTTCTTCTGTGGAGACTGATGGTCAAGTGGCCCATCGGTCGGTTCATTGAACTAAGGGTTTCTGTGTCTCTTCTGTTTTCTCCACGTCTTTTCTTCCAGACAGGGAGAGACATTAGATTGCTGTTCACATGAATTTCAGACCTCGGTCACTTAGGACATCAGTCTTTGTGGACTGTGTTATACCAGTTGGCTCTGGTACCCCTTGAGTCCCAGGTTGATTCCCTCAAGGTGTTTGCTTATGTTGAAGTTTTCCTAACTTTGCCCCAGACAAAGGGCTGTGGCCTAGTCCCACTCCCTGACTTCAGCAAACTCCCTGTGTGGAAAACCAGTCAGGCTTCCCTTTGCTTAAACTGTTTGGTGACGTCTGTCAAGCTAAAACCCAACCCCTCCGCTTACTCTCCGTTGACGATGCGGTCTTGTGGTCTTCTCCTGCCTGTTTGACCCGCTGTACCCACCATCTGTCCGTCCATCCCACCCACGGAGGTAGCCCTCTCACACCTGCTGTTTCAGTCCATCTGACTTAACTGCTCTGTGCACACAGCACACCGTGCCTGTTCTGAGAGCTGGCAAGCAAGCTTTGGGGCTGAGTTTAAGGGACTGTCAGGTGTAGCAGACACACACGATGCTAAGTGTACCTCCCTCCTCTCTGTGCTCCCCGATTTGTTCCAGAGGAGGACCAGAACGTGTGCTCAGTCTCCTTGTCCTACGTACAGTCCAACTCGCTGACTTACGGGGCGGACTGGTCCTGGCTCAGCCCGAAGTCACGCTTGCAGCCCCTTCAGCAGACCCCTTTCAAATCCGAAATGGAGGTCAAGTCGGCCAACTTGCTGCCCAAGCTGAAGCATCCAGGCACACCGGGGGCCACCAGTGTAGATCATGTAGGGGCGGTTGATGATGGGGAGGACCATGATGCAGAGTCCAGGTCCTTGCAAGTGGCAAGGAGGAAATCTTGTGACTTTCACTTTAGCCTGAATACCGCCAACGTGGATACTAGCTTCCTGGCCACGTGCTTGTTTTACGGGCATGCGCTCCACGTCTGGAAGTGGAAAATGAGCTGAACTGTGAAGGAGCTTCCTCAGTTTGACCCATAAGCCCCCTTCCCACAAATAAAGCTGAGCATGCTGCAGTGTGCTCCATTAGCACTTGCTCTGGTCCCTTCAGCTATCGTGGATGGTCAGGGCGGAAGAGCTGTTAGCATCTTTTGACCAGTCCTCCCTGCTGACCCATCCTTCTGGGCAGGATGAGCCACCTGGCAGGAGGGCTGTGCTCATCCTGGGCTGCTCACTGGGCAGGGAAGACTAGGCTCCCTAGCTCTCAAAGTTGTTAGGTTTCCTGTGAATTTTGACTTGTACTCAAGGAAGCATCAAAAAGTTCATGGAAAATTTCATCATCTTTTAATTCCACTCTTCTACTAACTTATGAAGCCCCCTTGTATTTAAAAAACTTTATTAAATGAAGTTTACTTGCAAATTAGTTATAACATCACTGATCACTGTAAGCAGACATGAACAAGATCACCTCCTGGTTCACCAGAAGACTCCATGCAGGTGAACACAGGGAGGAGGCAGGACACACGGAAGCTCGGTCCTGGGTCCTGGCGTGGTACTTACTCAGCTGAGACCCCAAGCCCTGGTGCCCCCTGCTGGGCGTGCAGCCCTCAAGTCTAGGACTAAGGAGGGACTGTGGACAAGGACAGCCCACTGTTGAGTTTGCCAGATCCTTATTCATGACCTATTGCGACCCCCATGCTCTTGCCTACTTTCTTATAGCACTGCACACCAACAGAGGTCAGACTATGTGACACGTAGTCTACATATTAAAAATGATCCATTCCAGCCACTGCCACGTATTTCAGCTAAAATACCAGATCCTCCTTTAAAAGTTAATTTAAGGATGTGGCGCTGGGGGTTAATGCACTGGACTGCAAAGTTGGTTTGAACTGGAAGGTCGGGGTTCAAGCACACCAGCTGCTCCTCAGAAACCCTATACAGGGTCACTATGGGTCGGAACTGACTCAGAGGCACATAACAGCTTAAGGGTTGATTCTGTTCATTGGTTGTGCCCCAGGTTGGAGAATCTGGGGGCATGGATGACCAGTGTTGCCTCAGCCTGCCTTGCAAATGGTTTCCCCTCCATATGACGTTAAGCACTGGACTGCAAACCACAAGTTTGAGCCCACGAACTGCTCCTAGGGAGAAAGATGAGGCTCCAGTGAACATTTAAAGCCTCGGAGAACCTATGGTGGTGGTGGTGGTGGTTGGTTGTATATCACAAGTGACCCTGTATGGGGTTTGTTTCTGAGGCTGTAAATAGGGTTTCCAAGACTGTTAATGTTTACACGAACAGAGCCTCATTTTCTCCCAAGGAAAGGCTGGTTGAGTTGAACTACAATGCCTAATCCACATTGCCATCTGAGGTCCTTTATTAACATATCAAATCAAACCCATTGCCTCCGGTGTTAATTAAACAGAAAGTGACCCTGTATAGGGTTTCTGAAGAGCAGCTGGAGAGCCTGAACCGCCGACCTTTCAGTTCAAACAATTTTGCAGTCTGGCGCATTAACGCACAGCGCCAGCCCAGGACTCCTGTAGACAACCTCGGCTTTCTCCCGCGGGGCAGAACCGAACGTGTGCAGTCCTAGGCTCCTTTTATTAGCATTTAAGGAGGCTTCAAAAAAATGCATGGAAAAATAACATCTTTCCGTTACGTTTCCACGGACTTTTGAAGCCCAGAGTCTGAGAGCACCTCGCCTTGGTCACAACCAGCAAGCTGCTGTCTCGCTTTCACAACAGCCGACGCCCCCAAACACGTCCAGATCAGCTTTATTTAGTCTTGAAAACAAAGGCTTCCAAACGTCGCCCCCCTCCCTACCGCGGGAAATTCTTGGGGTACAGCTGGAAGAGCTTGCCTTCCTGGGTGGGCTCAAAACCGTACTTTTCCAGGTTCTCGGGGTCAAAAGTCCCTTCTTTTAAGTCCCTCTCGATCGCAGGGGCCACTGCTTGCTGAAAGAGCTCCCTGGCCGTTAGCGGGGTGTCGGTTCCCGCGGGGGCACGGTAGTTCACGTAGGGCTTCAGCTTGAAGCCGGTCAGGTCCGGGACCACAAACTCCGGGATCATCTCTTTGATGGTCACGAACTTCCGGCCAGCGGCGTGCACACCGGTAGCCTTGGCGCCCCGGCTCTTGTAGAAAGTGCGAGGGCCGCGCTTGCTTGTCCACTTGCTCATCCTGTCCGCTCCCCGGACCAGGGCGCGGGTCACTCCCGTCAGGACACCCATGCCGCCGCCTGTGGACGGGGCAGAGGCGCGTCACTTGACCTGCAGGGCCGCGCGAGCACCTCCCCGGGGCGCCCCCACCTGCCCTGCACTCCTCCCGGGGCCCCACACTCACCGCACGCTCCGCAAAGCCGACCCGGTTAGGCTTCGGGCGGACGCACTTCGCAGCAACAGTGGCTCCGATTGGCTGTCATCGCCGCGTTCAATGCGTAGCCTCAGCTCTGCGAAGGGCGGGACCGGCTGGAAACTCGGCCAATGCGCGGGCGGGATCCGGGGTCAGGGGGCGGTCCCATCGCTGACAGGGGGGGTGACGTCGGGGGCGCGGGCGCCGGCCTGGTGAGTGGGCAGAGGCGGGGTCTAGGTGGGTCGCTGCCCTTTGCCCCCAGGATCCTCGCGGTGAACCGCCTGGATCCGGATTCCCCGGCTCGTCGTCCCCGCTGGGCGCTAACCGGCCCCGGCGTTCCCTGCCTCTTTCATCCCCAGACAGGGCTGACCTAGACCCCGACCCCGCGGTTGGTGCCCCTTAGACGCAGAGAGCTGACCCCAGCATCCTGTCCCACAGGCTCCCGACACTCAGGGTCCCGTCTTGCAGGATTGCGATCGCTCGGGTCCAATCCCACAGAGTCCGGATCCCCAGCGTCCCACCCGCCGGTGAGAGACTTGTCTCAGAGCCGAGGTCGCCACGTGGTCAGCGGGGCGTAGGACCCCCGACCTGGACAGGGAACGAGCGCAGTAATGGAGCACAACCCCTCAGGCTGCAGCGTCTGTAGCGCTTTTGTGTGTGTGTGTGTGGGGGGGAGGGTTTGTGACAAAACAGCCCTCCCTACTGCTGCCCCTGCTCTGAGGAGTCTGGGGGCTGGGCTGGGCAGCGATTTAGGACGGTCACCACGTTCCTTGTCCTCTGTCACCAGCGCATCATCATATGGCCAGGATAGGATTGCACTGGTCAGGAATCCAGCTGGCCAGTTATAGCTGAGTCCCTACACCCACCCACCCAAGGGGGGTACACACCAGCGCCTCCTCTACCCGCCTTCGCTCTTCACCTCCGGGACCAGCCGGGAGCCCCGCCCCTTTCCCAAGCTCCACTGGGCGCCCCGCCCCTGACCTATTGCGAACCCCGCCCTCCACCCCTGACCAGTGGGAGTCCCGCCCCCGGCCCGCTGAAATCCCGCCCTTTACCCCTGATCTGCTGGGAAACTATACCAACCCCCCCTAAACTCCCAGGGAGTCCCTCCCTCTGCCCCTGTCCCTGCCCCACTGGGAGTTCCACCACCCTAACCTGACCCCGCTGGGAGTCTGGTCAGTAACCTCGTGAGGGCTGTTTACAGAGCGCTGTTTACAGCTTTCTCCGGGAGAGCCGAATACCTCACCAGGATTTCCTCTCTGTGAGGACATGTGTGTCTGGGAAAGGGTTCTGGGAAACACCCAGGTGGAGCCCACTTGCACCTTCTGTCATCCCTGTCCCTTTGGATTTTAGCCATGAAGAACCGCTCCGACTCCTGGCAGACGGTAGGTAAACAAGTCAGGACAGGTCATCCGGCTCTGGGTCCCAGTGTAGGACTGTTCAGAGTAGGGG